TCTATTCTTTAATGTTCTTTAGTGTTCGCTTGCATAATAGCTTGTTTTGATTTCTGGTCATTGGGGACTGTTTTGTTTTACTTATCTGCTCTTACTAGAAGCACAGCGTAAATGACCACTAAAGTCACTCAGACCACTTTATCTCAATAAAGTAGTCTTTGTGCAGTTCCACACCTTTGCATGCCTTTCATAGTGTTATGTTCTACTTTAGTTGGAAACACACAAACCTTGTTAAAAAAATAAATATTTACTGCCCAGCACTCTGGGAACAAGCCTGGGAATGATTGTGCTTCTAAGTGGACTTGTCCCCTGTAAAAGAATATCGAAAGAGAAAGGAAAATGTGTGGTTCATACAGTTAATGGTATTAAAAATAAACTCTGTATAAATTCAACTTCTTTGTGGTGTCCATAAAACCCAGCATGTAGGCATAATGCATTGTTACATTGAATACAACTAGTAATTGTGGGTGCTAGTGTTTATAGAGGACACAATGGAACAGGAGTTTGTTGGTGCGCTGCAATGTTTTAAAATACGTGGCTAAAAAAGTTTTAGTAGGGCATTGTATGGTATGCCAATGGGCCAAATAGGAAAAGCTCATTGGTGTACTCCTTTTATCGTACAGAAAATAGGTTTCATTCATGAAAGGATTCTTCACAGTAAGAGCAATTATTTAGAATTCATTGCCTAAATATCTTAGTCCCCACATTCCATTAATCTATTAACGCAGTGTACATTTGGTGGGATATTTTTTTTTTTTCTTTCTTAATTAACCTTTCGAGTCAAGGGAAGAATGGGCTGCTATTTTGGAGCCAGGAAATTTTCTTCCCTTTGTCAGGTACAATCTGAATTTCCTTCAGACTTTTTTTTTTTTTTTTATTGGGTTCGGCAACAACATTGGGGATGTGAGTCTTGTTTTTACAATCTGAATTACTTTTAAGTTATTCACAAAATCTGGAGACCTTGAACCCTGAGGGTATGCTCTGCAAGACATAGGAGCATTATTGGACATGTTTGAACACCTTTTTATCTTCTTGAATTGGACATTAAACTTTTAGTTGACTGTGGTGTGGTTTATGATGACACATACAACAAATATAATTTTTTTTCTGTACAACGAAGACACTCATCACCGTTCTCCATCTACCCTTCTTTCAGCGTCCGGACACCTTACTGTGGGATCCATGGCCACTGTGATATGCCGACGATTGCGTGGAGGGATATACCAAGCATCAACATTTTCATCCACAGTGAGATGGCCACAGAAGAAAACTCCAAATGAACATGGGAAGGGATATATTTTTTATCCTGCAAATGATGCACCTGCTTCAGAGGACAAGAAACCTGGAGATGTGAGCAAAATGCAGTCCCAAGTTCTTTACAACCCATCTGCATATGTTGGTATAAAGAGGCACAATCTGCACATTACTGATGAGTGTGAGAGCTATCCTTTGGAAAATGATTATGCTGCAAGTAATGCCAAACAGATTCAAAATACTTACAGCATCACTTGCTCACGAAGCTTGTCTAGTACAAAGAACAACATTCTAGATTTGGCATTTGGCAGTCCAGATACAGTGCATCCTAAAACCACACAGAAGCCGAAAGAGAGGGAACAGAAAAAAGAACCCCTAGACTGTTACAATGTTCCCGAAATGTATAGCACCAAAGATGACCCTAGGACTTTCCAGCAGCTTAGACCTGACTACAAGGCTCTGTGCTATAGAACTTCTGATCTGACTACAACTACATCTATAGAAGAAGGTCAGAATTTACTACAAAAGGTCACCATTCTCAAAAGCAATCTTACCCCTACAACAATTTCGGCATACTTTGAGAAACTTAGTTATTTGCCCTCAGAAGAAATTGCTGTGATTCGGAAAAATACTAAATTTGCCATGCTTTGTCGATACAGTGTGGAAAATATCCAGATGTTTTCCAACTTGGAACTTTTAAATATTCTTGGTTCTTTTATACGCCTAGAAATCCCCCCAGCTCACTCTATGTTGAATGTGTATCAGACAGAATTCAGTTGCCGTGTATGGAACATGACCACAGAAGAGTTGTTGTTGGTTGCTGACATGTGGAGGTTCCTGGGGCGAAGTGTACCACAATATTTGGATATCCTGTACAGCTGCATGCAGCTGCGTTGGAAACATCTCACTTTGCCTCAGTTGATACAGCTGATTTACATAATTGGTGAAGGCAGACAGGCACCTCGAGAGTTGATGCAGAAACTAGAATCCATGGTGCTGAGACATCTGGATTCGGTTAACCTTGAAGAAATAGGTGCAGTCTGTTTAGGTTTCTTCAAATCACAAAATGGCTTGTCTGAATACCTTATGAGAAAAATTGGTGATAAGGTTTCTGATAATATGCAGGAAATAAGTAATTTTGCTTTAGTCAGCATTCTTAAAATGGTACGATTTACTCATGTGGATCACTTGGCATTTTTAAAACAACTTGGACAGGTTGTCCCTCAACGTATTTCCACTATGGGTATTCAAGGCATCATGCACATTGCTCTGTCCTGCACAGCATTGCATTATTTGGATGAGAATATTATGAATGCTATAGCTGCTGTAGTTCCTGAACGAATAGCATACTGTAGAAGCAAAGACCTTGCCAAGTTTCTGTGGTCTTTTGGTGCTCTTAATTATGAACCCCCAAATTCTGAACACTTTTATTCCGTAATCACTAATCAAATACGCAAGAGGCTGCAAGAGTTTGAAAAGTTTCCAGAGCACTTTCTAACGTGTTTGTTGGGGCTCGCCTTTGCTAGGAGATATCCTGTTGATCTTATTGAAATTGCCTTAAGTGACAAGTTTGTTACTCTGGCTACAAAAAATAACTTGTTTGAGCTCAGGAAGGATCTTTTCACTTTAGATAGGAGTGTAGACATTGAATGCCAAGATTACAGAGGTAAACATCTTTCTCCAGAACTGTGTCAAGAAGTCACTGAAATGCTGAGGAGTTTTGCCAATCAGGATATCTGCTTAAAGCCGGAGGTTATTGAAGCTGCTGGGTTACTGGAGACTATATTGGGTGGCCCTCAGTATGTGAAAAATCATATGATTTTACCCCACACAAGATCAAGTGATCTGGAAATACATTTAGATATAAACAGGAAGCCGATACCAATAAACAAAGAAATTCCCGAGCTAGAAAAGCCTCAATTAAAACCTCTTGGCCTTCACATTACTGATGACCTGTTAGATCAGCTTTTGGACAGCAAACTTGAATGTACAGTAGGCAAGAAAACCACGAATATGAAGACCAACGTGAAGCATCATGATGATCAAAAGAAAATATTACATGCACCAGAAAATAGAAATTTTTCAATTGGTGTACCTATTACTGATGATCTTTTATCGGTTTTGACTATGCCAACTGCTTCAACCAAAAAGTCAGTTATCTTACCGAAACTTTATCCTGATGTCACAAAACTGGCCGTTCAGGTTTCTCATAGGAATCATTACTGCTATGCCTCCAAATATCACCTCTTGGGACTCCATAGTCTGAAAAGAAGACAGTTGCGTCAGTTGGGGTACACAGTAGTTGAGCTTCCCTACTGGGAGTGGATTCCTCTAATGAAACGTACAAAATCTGAAAAACTTGCTTACTTGCATCAAAAACTATTTGGTGCTCTAAATGACAGTTGACCCATCTAGTAAATATAATTCCTTGATTGGTGTTTTGTGACCACGTTCTCCCTCGCCCCCCCCATACATTTATTGTAAACTACCTATTTCAGGAGTAGGCAACCTTGGCACTCCAGATGTTTTGGACTACATCTCCCATGATGCTTTGCCAACACTGTGGAGAAAGGTAGCCCACATCTGCAGTGACGAAAGTTGCCTTACTTATTTCCTCAATGTGATCTTTTTGGGAAAAACTCTTATTTCAGTATACGCTGGGGCGCAGCAGAGAGGATACCATCACACGTTCTCTCCATTGCTGAATACAGTACTAGTAGCTGACACATTGCAAGACATCATGTGTGCTTTTTGTCCTGTTGCTGTGATTCCTTGACAACAAGCTGCCTGCTTTGAATAAGCATTGTAGGCCTGACTGTACCCCCAAATGGCCTTGTATTTATATAGGAAATTAATTGTACAACTAAATTGTCCATTCTAAATGTTTTATTTAATTCATGAATAGATCATATAATAAAATGTATAAATTGTATGTAATTCACTTTGGGGAAAAAAACAAACTATTTGCTTTAACATTGTGCTCTTTGTCTTTAGATAAGTTAAATGATCAGGCTCATTCTTGGTGGCATAGAATGTTTATGGATGCTGCAATGTGAAGGATTTATTAAATAATTTCTGACAGTATAGTCGGGCGCTGTATTAAACGTGCAGCGATTGCTTTATCACTATGATAATGTCATCTTTCTACTGGATATTGTTTTTCCCGCTGTTGGTGGCAAATTTATAAATGTGCCCCATATGTGGTGGTCTTACTAAACAGTAGCACTTATCAATAGATCATAAATCTGCGTTCTATTTAATGCATTACTGTTGCAGTCTAACATTTATTTTCCAATGTTAAGCTACCTGCCCTGAGTGTAGATGCAGTCAAGGTGAACTTTTATTCCCTTATCGAAGTCTCAAACAAGATATCAAGTTACCTGTAGCTTAATATGTAAAAATAAGATAAAAATAATTTTAAATATATAATTTCATCTATGTGCCCAGTAGATTGAGTCTTATTCGGTTCTAATTTGAGCTACACGTAACAATCACGTTGTACGTTACCTTTATCTTATGCTTGCCTAGGTTTTGTACAATTAAATAACATTTTCACATACATTATTCTGTTATTTTTTTGGGTGGGGGGAGGCTCTGATTTTTCTCTAAAATATATATATATATATATATATATATATATATATATATATATATACATTTTTTTTATTCTTTTGTAGTTTATGAAAAGTATGTTTAATTGTAAGAATTACAGTAACCTAATGGAGGTATGTAATCAAGGCGGGTCTGCCTAGAGTGGGCATTCGTGCCCATTGGGGAGAGGGGGTTTCACTGAAGTAATCTCTGAATGGTCCCCCATTTAAAAATCAAGACAGCAGTTTGTGTATAGATCATGTGTCTGAAGTTTCACTGCTCAATTCTCTAACATTTAGGAGTTTAAATCACTTATGTATTTGTTTATGCAGCCCTAGCCACACCTACTCTGATTGCGACTCACAGCCTGCATGGAAAAAAAAAAAGATTTCACTTTCAATCAGATGTAACTTTCTTTAAAAGGTATTTAATTTTTTTTCCTTTCTGCCCTGTATTGGAGCTTTATTGACACACAGGAAGGTCCTGCAGGATATAGAAAGCTATTAAAGGAACCGTATAGGCAAAAAAGGCATATTCATTTTTTTTCCACCTTAACCTACTGTCACAAAGTGCATTTTTTTTTTTTTTTTAAATAGTTTAAAAATGAGCTTCAGAAATACCTGATTTAATCTTAACTTTGATCATATTCTGTGCCCCTTCTCTTAATTGTGTGTCATATCTCCCTGCTTCCTGTATTTCAGTCAGACTGTCCACCAATGGCCATGCTCCAGTGATTCTCTGTGAGAATCAACAGTGATCAAAGGCAGCGGAAAGATCAAGGAGAATTAGGATAGAGTAATGGCCACAAGATTTAGCAGAAATTAAATAGTTGGATACTTTAATCACAGCTGTTTTGACAGAATGACCAGCACGGAATCCAGACTGAAGGGGGTCAAGCAGAGAGTTGGATTTGAGAAAGTCAGTCAGTCTGGTGTACACAACTCTCTCGAGGATCTTGGAGGCAAATGGCAGTAGCAATATAGGGCCGTAGTTGGATGGGGAGTTGGGGTCAAGGCTGGGCTTTTTCAGAATTGGGGTTACAGTTGCATGTTTGAAGGGTGAGGGAAATGTGCCAGAGGAAAGGGAGAGATTGAAAATTTTAGTGAGAAGGAGACAAAGGCATAGGATCGAGGGAACAGGTGATGGGGCGGGAGGACCTGAGCAGAGCAGACACCTCTTCTGCTGTAGCAGGTGCGAATAAGTGAATATATGTAGGGGAATCAAAGAAAAGCTGTAGTAAGAATGCCAGCAACTATGACTTTCATCAATTTGCTTAAAGGGATTCTCCATTGCCAGGAAAACAAACCTGTTTTACTGGCACTATAG